ATTATATCTATTGACATTTATTATATTCACAATTAGAATTGAGAAAATTTAAACAGTTATTAATTCATTTAAAACTAATAAATCCTTTAAATATTAACTTAGTATTTTTTTCAAATCTCTTTAGTATCTGGCTTACCAGAAGACAGCTGAATCCTCAAATGTGTTTCTGCATGCAGTCTGCTGTGATATGTGGTTTTGGTTAAAGTATATGAAAAAAATCTGGTCTCATCCAGATATGTAAGGCAGAAAAGGGAAGAGTACATTAATGACCTTTTAGATAATTGTGGATTTTCCTCTTGGTACTATACCAGAACGTGGTAAGTAGTAGTCCTTTACAGATTATGTGCAATGTGGAATCTGAAACCATATCAATGAACTTTTTGTACTCAGTTACATTAAAATGCATTGGTCTAACTTGCAGTTTCAATGGATCTTTTTACTCATGGGTCATTTGGAAATTACTGGTTCACTGAGTTGTGCAGACATTCCAAATGTTGACACATTTCATTATATAATATTAACCAATCTTTTTGCTAATACCACTCACTAATAATCACATCAGAAAAATGTTTAAGTATTAGGAAGCTGTCAAGGTCATTCATAGTGGTAAACAGAAGTTTTCAAAAATTCTTATTTTTGCCCAGCCGGGTGTGGCTCAGTGGTTGAGCGTCGACCTAGGATCCAGGCGATCAGGGTTCGATTCCCGGTCAGGGCATATGCCCGGGCTGCGGGCTCGATCAATGACTCTCTCATCATTGATGTTTCTCTCTCTCTCTCTCTCCCCCTCTCTTCTCTCTGAAATCAATAAAGATATATTTTTTAAAAAAATTATTATTTTTACCTAAAGGCTTTAATTTTATCATTGACAAAAAATTAGAATGGAGAAACTAATTGAGAACTTTCATTTGTTTCCCTTGAAGTAATAGGCTCACTATCTTCATCCTTACGAAAATATCTGCCAAACACCCAAGTGTGAATAACCACAGTTGGTCTGCCACTTGTTCTTTCAAGGTAGTCTACGAAAAAGGGGGCTTTGAAATTCAGATTTTGAAACAAACCATTTTACAAGTGTTTTTCCTTAAGAAAGCTATTATACTTTGGTACCCAGCAGAAGTACTCTATGTGTACTTCCCATTTCATCACAGAATTTTTAAACAGACATATAGTCAAGGGTTGAGATTGAATAAAATTAACCTCATGAAGGACATTCTGAAGTGAAACCAATGTTAGGGGGTTTTGTAAAAGCTATTAGTACAATATGGTGCCATGACTTTGATTTGTGCTAAAATATAAGTAGTTTTCCCCACACTGTTTTGTCTCAGTATTATTATGCAAATGGTAAATTTTGTAGGGTCACTATTTGACCTTTCATGGACCACATTTGAAGAACCACTGGTATATTCATTTTTCTTTTTTAAAATTTTTAAAAAATGATTTGAGAGAGAGGAAGGGGGAGAGAGAGGCACACGGAGAGATGGATCTGTTGTTCCAATTATTTATGTATTCATTGGCTGACTGTTGTATGTGCCCTCACCAGAGATTGGATCCACAACTTTGGCTTATTGGGATGAAGCTCTAACCAACTGGCCACATCCATTATTCTTTTCCAGTCACCTGTCTGCTTCTGTTTGCCATAATTATCTCTGTGATCTTGCATATGTTATTCTTTTGCCTGCAATGTGTTTTCCAACCAGCTGACAGAATCCTATTTGTCTTTTCTCTTTTTTTAATCCTCACCCAAGGATATTTTTTCCATTGCTCTTCAGAGAGCGGAAGGGAGAGAGAGAAATATCAATGTGAGAGAGACACATTGATTGGCTGCCTCCCACACATGCCCCAACTGGGGCCAGGGATCAAGCCTGCAACTGAGGTACGTGCCCTTGATGGGAACTGAACCTGAGACCCTTCAGTCCGTGGACCGATGCTCTAACCACTGAGCAAAACTAGCTAGGGGATATTTGTCTTTTAATATCTGGTTTGCATTTCATTTCTGAGATGCCTCTTTAAGCTGATTTCATCACCCTGCTTTTTGTGCTTCTATACCACTCTACATATGCACTGTTTTAGCACTTATGAGGGGCTACTAACATTTTAAAGCACCCAATATGACAGACCCTGTGCTAATCTTTTGCATGTTTTCTCATTATATCCTCTAAATAATTATATGTGATAAGTATTACTATAGCCACTGTACACGGAAGGACCTGACGGGACAGCTAAAGTCACACCCAATATTTCAGCAGTGTGATAATCTTTCCCCCATTTGTCCTTATGACACATACATGGCACTGTTAAAATATTCAACTTATGTTGACTGAAGAGTCAATAAATGAACTTAGTGACAATCTAATCCCATAATGAAAGGCTCTACAAAGTCTCTCATCTTTAAGAGCGCCTAGGGTCTGGCCTTCAGTAGAGTACTTTTCATTCTTTATATACAGTTTGGATTTGGAATCTTCATTTATTGTACAGGAAAACTTATATTTTCATTTCTTCCAGCAGTGTTTCCTGGCGTGGGATGGTGATGTAATGGTTACACTGCCATCAAGCAAGAAACACAAATGTTGAAATTTGACAGTAATGTTTTTCCTCTCAAAGTTGCTTCAAGTAAATGAGGTATTGTAAAGGCAAATAGTATATATTTTTCAATATGCTTATTCATGTTTTAAACTTTTTAAATAGTTAAAAGAAACTATTTCATACCACTTTTTCTACTTAGTCTGAGACATGATGAAAAGTGAAAATTCCAATGTGCCTCTAACAAAAGCTTAATACCTCAAAATTGCTTTTACTTAGACTACAGCACATATATTTAGAATGGTGGTGAAGTCAGTGGTTCGAAAAGTGTGGCCCCAGGACCAACAGCATCAGCATCACTTGAAAACTTGCTAGAAATGCAAATTATAGGGACCTACCTCAGACCTAATGACTCAGTCTTGGGGTGGGGCCCAGCAATCTGTGTTTTAACAGCCCTCCAGTTACTGTGATACAGGATTAAATTGGAGAACCAATGGGGCAAACCAATTGCATCATTTGGATTCATGGATGTTACCTATAAAGAACTGATATGGCCCATTTACAATCAAATCTGTGAAAATATAAGCTGCATACTAAGGGGTCTGCTATGCCAAGGGTCTGGACCACCCTCAAGACAGTATACAGTGGCATGCAGTCTCATCCCATAGAAAGAGGCCAAATCATTCCCAGGCTCTGTCTTCTAGGATGCAGATAAATATACCACAGACATACTTAATGAGGAGCAAAATCATTTATTGATCTGCAAGAACTATCTGCCATTCCCTCAAAGGTAACTCCAACGATGTGTCGTTAAAATTGCTTCTTTTCTAAGGAAACACTAACCCATAATATGTGCATTTTATTACTACTAGAATACAACATTCTATCATCCACTTTCAACCACCAATGACATTACTACTCTTTCCAGAAATACATTTATAACCACTATTTTACTTGCTTTGCTATTATATGGATTTAAGGAAAACAGAAAATTTGCTAGCATTTTGACAACTATTTAGAGATATATAAAAAGCTTATTTTAGTAAAGAATATATACAAAACTTCCTAGCATTTTGCTAGAAAAAGCAAAGGCATTAACTGTTCACTTCATTTTTATTTATACTTTTCTAAAGAAAAGCTGGTGAAAGAAACTGCCCTATCATCAGGTTGCTGTCTTTGCCAGAAAGAAGATCAAACCTGGTAGAGAAGGTTTACTATAAGTCAAAGGGGAGGAAAACTCAGAATCAGACGAATGGAATACTAAGGTCATAACTTTGATTTTATGGAGTTGTACACTTGAAACCTGTACCCCAAAAAATTCAATTAAAAAAGAAGTATATTTTATACTGTGGCTACTTCCATACACAGACATGTACATCCATTCTTATTAGACAATATATAAAAATTATTTCTAACTTGTAAAAAAAAAAAGAATAAAAAGGACAGGGGATATAAGGAAATCATCCATTTACTACAAATGTGGTATAGTTATTCCTTATTTTTATTGGTAGTTCAGTAATTTTGCTTACAATATAAATGAGAAAGAAAAAACTGAAGTTTCCTAAACATAAATGTTTATTTGAATAATTACAAGTAAAAATATAAAAATTTTGTTTGATCTTGTGTTCATTAACAATGCAACGTTATAGAAAGATTCAAACTTTAGTGTGAGACAGATCAGGGTTGGAATTCTGACTGACAACTACTAGCTGTATGAATATGGGCAGTTATTAACTTCTCAGGTGTTTAGTTTCCTCATCTGAAGAGTACAACCAATTTGTAGGGCTGTTATAAGGATTTTAGATAAATATTTGGGATGTGCCTTAGACAGAGTATGATAATTAAACAGTTATTAAAGTATGAAAGAAAACTAATGCCTAGAGAATTGATATAGAGAATGTCTGGCTGAATTGAAGATTATGCCTTTGGGTCTCAAAATCAATAACCAACTTCTCCTGTTTCACCTACATGTTAAATAACTATGAATTGCTTGCCATCCTCCCTTCCACAACACGTGGAAGAAGTACAGAAAGAGACAGCCATGAAAAACCAAATGCTCCCTTAAAAAAAAAAATAGAGATATAACATCTGTGAAAGCCAAAAATAATTGCTTCAAGAGTTTTATTTCTTCTACAGTGAGGGAAAGAACAGTACCACCATTTATTCATTTAATCCTGTTTCTTCCTCACACTACCACAGCATTTCAAAGCAATATATTTATTGCTACTAAGGTGTTATAGATTTGCTTTTCTAGGTTAAAGCCTCTCTGTATTCACCAAATGCAGCAAGCCACTTTAGCTAAAGATCCAGGGATATAAACCTTGTTCAGTGCAATAAGAACACGTTAATAATATTCTAACCTTGGAATACAGTTATAAAGATTGATGGCTACTAAGTGCTACTTACAAACAAAAATGGCTCTTAAAGATATAAAAATATTAGCACTTTAAAATTTCCACATTCTGCTAGTCTATTTTACATACCTGAGAATTTTTTTAGGAACCTGTGACGGCGAATGACTCCTTTTCTTCTTCTTCTCTGAGTCCAGGAGTAACCCATCCGGTGTTCCACCCTTCTCCTTAACTGCTGGCTGGCCTGCTTCAGCCTTACTCTGATCCACGCTGAGCTGGCCTTCAGCAGGGTCACACCTGTACATGAAGATGATGGCTGGCTTCTCACTGGACTCTCCTTTTGCCTCTGTGAACCAGTGATGGCGCTGAACTGGAGGAGGGGGCAGCATGTGGATGACTGTGCCATCCAGGCCCACCAGTTTCCCTTTCTCTCGTTCTTTCTCTTTGTCATCCTCCTCATCTGTTTTCCTGCGGCGGAAGAAGCTTTTAAATGATATCCAGCGTTTAGGTTTTGCATCAGCTGCCCGCCTGCTGCCTTCAGGGAGCAAAACTGATTCAGCTTCCGTTGACCTGGTAGGGCTGGTTGGCTTGGTCCAGTTGGTGAAATGCTTCTGCAAAAGGTTACTTGCATGGTAAGGGGAGGAAGTAGAGCGTGGTGGGGGAAAAGGAGGTGATGGCTCACTCTGGGGATTAATCACTAATTTGGAGGGAGACGCTGAGTCTGGCTTTGCCAGTAGATCTTTCTGTACTTTAGTGATAAGATTTTCTGTGGTCTGAGGTGCTTCATGCTCATCGCTGGACTGAGATGTAAAGAGAGATTTGGGTCGAACTGGTGTACTTTTAGCAGCATCAACATCTGGAGGAATTGCATAAAGCTCTTCCACACTGCAAGCTTTAAGGCCTGACTGGGGCATTTCTGGAGGAGTCTGTGGGGGTTGGATAGAAGCCACAATCTGAGACAGCACTATACTTGCTTTCTCCCTGCCGCTGCTGCCACTGCCCACCAGCTGAGACTCCTGAGTGCCTTCTGTTCTGGCAATAGGTTCTTGAGTGGTTCTCTGGATCTTGGTTGGGGAGCTGTGGCTGGAACTACTGCTTCTCTGTGGTGAAGACTGGCCTCTGTTAAGACAGCTGTTAAACTCCTGGACCTTCTGAGCCACTGAGCCCCTTTTACATTCTGTGCTATCTGAAAATCCTTTAGCTTGGGGACAATCAGTGGGGTTGCTAGTGATGTCATCAGACACTTTGCTTGCAGTTTCTATTTCTTCATAAGTATGGCTTATCATACTTGTGGTTTTTTCCTTTACTGAAAGTTCTCCACTTGTTCCAAGGAAACTTTTATAAATGGCTAGATTGTCATATGCATTTGGATTGATTACAATGGGAACTTTGATAGCATTTTTGGAACTCCGAGCATAAGTTGGCTCATCATGAATGATAATTGGAAAAGGAGGCATACCAGCATTGTTATAACTATTAAATTTTATTTCAGACAAATTAGGTGACTTAACAGGGATGGTTTTGGAGGAAACATTTGTAGCTATGGGTGAAGTAGGTGCTGATTTGTGACAGTTTTTCCTTGGAGGGACATTTGGTCCAGTTCCACCACTAATTAATTCTATCTTAGGTATCTTTTGTCGTGGACTGGTACTGGAAGTCCATACTTCCTGGTATCGAATTGCACTGGATTTTTTGAAATGGGCACTTATTCGTCCTGATTTTGATATAGGTGATGTAACTGGAGAGTTTGGAGTAGAAGAAGAGCTTTTCGTCTTGGAGCTGTTAACAGGGTCCTCTAGGTGCTCACTGGCCATGGCTGCTGACACGTCTACAACAGTATATGGCCTGCACAATGGCTGTTCAAGATTTACTACGCGGTAGGGCTTTGCTTGCTCTTGTACAGGAATGAGGTTTATGATTACTGCTTGCCCAGCAATATCTGTAGAGGCTTTACTTTCTTGCTTCTCAGTTTGTACAGCAATCTTGCCATCTTTCTCTTCTAATCGGAGAGCAAGGACTGCTTTGTGTGTCTCTGCAACTTTTACTGAACTTTTGGATGCTTGTGATGAATCCTTCTCTTGATTGTAACCAGAGAGGCTTTCATAACTGGGCTCACTTTCCTTCATATCCTTAGAATCTCCTGTGGTATCAGGAGATATTCCCCCATTACATATCTTCTGAGATAAACTACTGGCTGTCTCAGAACATGATTCTTCTGTTAAAGAAGAATCTGGTGAAGTGGAGTCAGATGACATCATGCTCTGAATGCTTCCTGGTCCATAGGAGACCACAGAATTCTCTTCATAACCATTCAGGATTTCATCATAACTGTCATCATAGTCTACAGCACAGATTCTCTGCAGAGATTTATTTCGCAGAGGGACAGTATTCCACTTTTTGTCCACATAGAATTGAACAGGAGACAAAGTGTTTGCCCTAAAATTAGCGAAGCGAGGTTGCCCTCTCATTCGAATCTCCATGGCCAACAGTTCTTCATCACTCTCATCCCAGCTTTCATGCTCTTCTTCCATGTTACTGAAAAGTACATCTTCCTCAGTCTCCTCTCCACTAGAAAACTCTGGGTAACAGAACCGGCCCCCTTCATTACTGATCACTTCTGTGCTCCCACTCAGAATAACATGCTTGCCCTGAGTATCCTTTATCCCACCCATCATGCAACTTGGTGGAAGCTTTCTTTCCAATGATCGTTTATAGCAGTCATTTATTCTTCCTAAAAATATTTCTTTGGCATTGGTTTCATTTACTCTTCTCTGAGGGGTAGTATCCAAGCCTGCTATCTCCTTCAACATTTCAGTTAGTCCATTATTATTATTATTTGATACCTTCTTTGCACTATCATTATTGCCAAAAGGTTTAGAAACATGGCTAACTCCTTCAATATCATCTTTATTATTATTATTATTGAGTGGTTTCTGATTCAAGGCTGTCCTGTTTCGGTTCCTTTCTATGATGACAGGTTCGTTCTCACAGTGTCCTTGGACACTAAGCTCACCACATATACTTTGCCCATCTGCCACCATCATAGTGGGCTTCACAGCTATAGTGGGTTTTTTAGCCACAGGAGGCCGGAAATTTGTAGTGTTCCTGATACGGTGGTTGTTACTGTGATTGGCATTAGTTTTCACATGGCCGTGGGTGATGGGTGTCTTCTCAGGGTCTGGAGGAAGCTGGTGCAAGCTTTTAGGTTTAAAGCAGTTCTTGCATTCACCAGGTTTCCAAACATGTTCAGTAAAGGTGTTACAGGCAGACATTTTAGAAACCAGAACTTCACAGGCAATAATTTCCTTTCAGTGCATGGCACAACTTTCATCTGTATCTAGCACCAGTATCATCAATCTGTAGGGGGAACAAAAGAAGAAAATCTGAATGGAAAGGCACTATGAGGCTGTTCAAGATGAATAACATGAAAAAATTGGCTCTGTTCCTCAAATTAAAAGATAGAGAGAAAAACTAATGAACTCCCTGTAGTCAATCAGCATTTTGGAAAGTTAGTTTTTTTTAACTATAACTTTATTCACCCTCGTTGAACCGTATCTAATCTTTTGTTTGATGTGTCTGGCAATGATACTGTGACCTCCCCCTCCTGGAAATGTCTTTCAAACAGCTATCCACCAATTTGTTTGACACTTCTTAGTCTATTGTGGGTTCCTTTTCTTCCACCCACCCTTTACATTTTGAGTATCTCATAGACTCCTCAGACTCAATGCATTCAAAACTAACCCTCCGGCTATCCCTTTTCTCCTCTCCAAGGAAGGATTCTACTCTAATCAGCCCTTCTCTACCCTCCAGGCCCCTTCCTTCTTCCTTTGTCTTTTATCCTAGTTCAAGTAATGTCATCCACCTAGATAGCTAAACTTCAACCTTCAGACAATTTTAGACACCTCTCCCCTCATTTCTAACTCCACATCCTACTAACTCCCCAAATTAGTCTTGCCAATTTTATCTATTACATTTCACTAAAACTCGTTCTTGCCATTACCAGACACCGTGAGTAGTTATTTTGCCTAGATTCCTGCAATAGACTGCTAACTGATCTTCATGTCTGTAGTTTCACCCCATCCCAATCTAACCTCTCTACCCTTGTTATTCAAAGCATGGTCCTCAGTCAAGCAGTATCAGCCTCAACTGGGAGCTTGTTAGAAAGGTAGTATCTCTTAGCCTAGCTGGCGTGGCTCAGCAGTTGAGCATCAACCTATTATCCAGGAGATTGAGGTTCAATTCCCGGTCAGGGCTCATGCCCCAGTTGCAGGATTGATCCCCAGTAAGGGGTGAGCAGGAGGCAGCTGATCAATAACTCTCTCATCATTGATGTTTCTCTCTCCTTCTCCCTTCCTCTCTGAAATCAATAAAGACATTTTTTTTTAAAAAAATAAAGGTATTATCTTAGATCTATTGGATCAGAATCTGCATTTCAATGAGATTCTCAGATGATTTCACTGTTCTATACTACAATTGGATTTAACTTTCAAAAATGCTAATATGATCATCTTCTTACCTAGCTTAACTATTCTGTGGCTCAATCTTACCTGCTACATTGGCTACCAAATGTCAGTGGGCAGACTAGCAGTTTCTAGCTAAATAAGAACCACCTGGGAAACCACTGTACTGTTCCTAATCAATCTCTGAGGGATGAGACTGGAAATCTGATTTTTTTAATGTAAGTTCTCCGGGTAATTAATTCTGTGTGTACTGGAACCTCTAGTTATGGGACAGAATACAAGCCCCTTAGGTTGTCTCCCTTCTAGACTTATGTCTTGAAAATTAAGTAGTATTATCAAGCTCTAAATTCCACTGGGCTACGTATTTCTCCTTAATACTATCAAAGCCACTTAGACATGCCTCCATTTATAAGCACTTTCATTTGTAACTGTTTCCTCATTTCAAGAAATTTTTGAGCTTTAAGACCTGGGCTATATATTATTCATGTCTATATATCTAGCATAAGGAGCTGAATAAATACTGGTCGATTGAAGTGCTGGTTTTAAAGTTAAATTTAAAAAAAATGAATCTTGTGGCTCTCCCTGTTGTCTTAGGCACATAGCTGCAGGCCTTCCCACAGGACATCATTATTCTTACATTTCTACTTTGGATATTATGATAAAGTTAGCAGTAGGTATGTACATGTAAGAACTATTCTGATAGCTGGAAAGTTTAACTTCATTCATGTACAAGATAGTGAGGATCCTTGCTTTGGTCAGAAAACTTTTTGTCAAGTTTCAGCACATTTATAAGGAAGGAAAAAATATTTTCTTTAGCAAATATACAAAAAACTAAGCCCCATGTAAACAATACTCATAAAAAAAGTACAGACCTAAAGATCAAAGAATTCAGAGAGCCCAACAACCTAGCCAAAATCTAAGTTCATTATTTGCTGAAGATCATGGAACTGTTCTTTTCAATAAGGTTAAAATATACTTTTCAAGTGTTTGTTTAAAAACATTTATTTATTCTTTCAAGTATTCTAAAAGCTATACCCCTTAATCAATAAAACCGTTTCCTGCTAGTCTGAGACTAGAACATTTTGAATAAGGAGAAGGAATGGCATAAAATTAGGCTAAAAAGGAAAGCTGGGGCCAGATCATTCAGGGCTTTTTAGGCTTTTAGAGTTTATCCTAAGAGCAGTGTGACACCACTGAAAGGTTTTAAAGAGGGGAAACAATATGATACAATCTGCATTTTTAAAAAGATAGCTCTAATAAAAAAACGTGAAACACTTAGATATAAATTTAACAAAATATATGCAAATTCTAAAATCTATATGCATAAAACTATAAATGACAAAAGATATCAAAGACCTAAATAAGTTTAGAGATATATACCAAGTTCTCTTAATAGTGTTAAGATGTCAGTGGTACCCAAAGTAGATTTAACATAATTCCAACAAAAATCTGAGCAGGATTTTTTTATAGAAATCAACAGGCTGATTCAAAAATTAATATGGAAAAGCAAAGGAACCAGAATAGCCAAAACAATTTTGAAAAAGAACAAAGTTGGAAGATTTAGATTACCTGATTTCAATACTTAGCATAAAGCTACAGTAATCCTGACAACATGGTATTGGCCAACGAAAGAAACGTAGAATGGGGAAGTAGGGTAAGCAAATTATAGACCATAGGACAAATCTAGTCTCTCTATTGCCTGTTTTTGTATGTCCCTAAAGTAAGGATGCTTTTAAAATTTTTATATGGTTAAAAAAATTTAAAAGAGTAATATTTTGTGACAAGTGAAAATTTTATGAAATTCAAATTTTATATAATTTCATATAATACCCATAAATAAAGCTCTATTGGAACACAACAGGCTCATTTATTTACATATTGTCTATGACAACTTTTACGCTACAATGAAGAGTTAAGTAGCTATGACAGACTGTATGTTACTCTCTCATCACTTTGCAGTACTTTTCAGCACTCTACAAACTGCAACATTTCCACTGTTACATGTGAAAAGATATTTTTCCAAGATAAAATTATTTAAAATTTCATTATAAAAATGCATTACTAGATGAATATTTGTATTCAATTTTGATGAGAAGAAACACTAATTTTGAACCCTTATTAAGCAAAATATTATTCCTCCACCCCAATTCCATTCTTCTTATTAGTAGAGTTGTGTTATAAAACTGTACTCAATTATTATATATATATATATTTTTAATTGAATTTATTGGGGTGACATGGGTTAATAAAATTATACAGGTTTCATTTATACAGTTCTACAATGCATCTATCATCTGTATATTTGTCAAAAAAATTCAAGGGAATTTGTTTTCCCTCTTGTTATATAATATCTTGGATTTTGCTTTTTGACCTACAAAACCTAAAGTATATACTATCTGGTTCTTTATAGAAACAGTGTGCTAATCCATGACATAGATCAGAACAGACACAGGACAGAATAGTGTCCAGAAAGAGACTCATGCAAATATAGGCAACTGATTTTTAACAAAGGTGGAAAGAATATTGTTTTCAACAAATGTGCTAGAACAACTGTATATCCACAGGCAACAAAATGAACCTTGATCTCACATCCCATAAACAAAAAACTAACTCAAAATGAATCACAGATCTAAGGATAAAATGTAAAGCTATAAAACTTTTAGAACAGGAGAAAATCTTTGTAACCATGGGTTAGGCAGAATCTTAGAGAAAACATCAAAAGACTAATCCATAAAAGAAAAAAATAAATAATTTAGACTTCATCAAAATGAAAAATATTTGCTCTGATGAAGACAGTGATAAATGAATGAGAAGACAAGCCACAAATAAGGAGAAATTTTTTGCAAAGCATACATCTGACTTTGTATCCATAATATATAAAGAACTTCAAAAATTCAACAACAATAAAATAAATCTAATAAAAAATACACAAAAGATTTAAGCATACACTTCACCAAAGGTATATGGATTTCATATAAACATGTGAAAGATCTTAAATATCATTAGTCATACAGGAATGTACACTGAAACTACAAGGAGCTACCACTATACATGTATTATAATGGTTAAAATAAAATTAAAACAAAAACTAGTGCTAGGGAGAATGTGGAGCAATTGAAACTCTCATATAATGCTAGTAGAAATGCAAATGGTCAGCCACTGTGAAAAACAGTTTGACAGTTTCTTATAAAGTTAAACATAAACTTTCCATGGAACCCAGCAATTGCACTCCTATGTAAGTACCCCAAGACAAATGAAAACTTATGTTTACACTAATGCCTGTTAGGCAAAAACTGGAAACAATCCAAATATTGTGTGGTAGTGGTTATATGACTGCATGCATTTGTCAAAACTCAGAATTGTACACTAAATAAAAGGCAATTTTTACTGTATATAAATCAAACCTCAATAAATCTCACCTAAAAAAAATAAAACAGCTCTGGCTGCTCTATGAAAACAAACTGGGAAAGAACAGGCCAGGAGGTCAGGAGACTGTTTAAAGAGCCACTGTGGGCAAAATAAGATACGACAAGGATCAAGATTAGGATGTGGTACCAGAGAAAGAGAGAAAACTAGGTGCAGGAATAACTGGATTTAGAGCAAAGTTTTAGGTTTATATATTTGAATGATTTGTGGGGCCACTTACTGAGATAAACAATGTTAGAGGAGGTACAACTTTGAGGGGAGTTATTAGTCCATATTTTTGTCAGCCTGCAATGTAATAGAGCAAGCAACTGAATTGAGAATTCTGGAGCACAAAAAGGAATTCTGATGTTCTTGCCTGTTTGGGAATTATTAATATAGAAATATCTGGGCCAAAAAGAAAATAGAGTGTGAGCTGGGGAAGTGGTCTTCGTGGGTGAACCAGGGAAAAGAGGATAATCCCCAAAGAAAACT